GAAAAGAAAAGTGAGAAAGAAATGAGGAAGAGACCTACAGGCATCAATGCTAATTGGCTCATACAACACTTATTCCAGCTCCTTAGAGCAGTCAGAAAAGCCATATAAAACATTGTATTTCCCAGAATCTCTTTTGCTCAGATACTTTATGTGATTGGAGCTCTGCTATCAAACTTTACCCTTTTGAAACTTTAATATGGAAGTGAATCAAATGGGAAGAAGTTTAGAATGTAGGGCATCCATTTTGCTGCAGGGGCTGGTGACACACTGTCATTCCTGATCAGTAGCTGGGCATCTGCGTCCTGATGGCAGATACCTTCCTGATTAGCAGAGGTGATATGATTCTTAAGCTACCAGCTAGAGCAGTTTCTGTATTCTAAATTGGACTTCCTGATTCAGTGGCTGCCTGATCATGGAAGAGATAGCAGCTTCATAATGTTTCAAATTCTTGACTAGAACACTGGCAGTATCTTCCCTGAGGGCTCGGTTCTGCTATATGGATTTGGTCATAGTTCCTGGAAATGCAAATAAGTCTCTTTCTTCAGTTCTCAAAACACATCTGTAAGTAATCCATGTAGCACCTTACAGGATAAAACCTTTTTTCCAGGATGGAATCTGTTATCTTAAACTGAACCCTCACTAACATACTGCCCAATTTACCTTGAAATTGAAACTAAAGATAATACAAGATAAGGATAATAAAAGGATAATACAAGAATGGAAAATGGTGTGCGAATGTCACTTATAAATAAAGATTTAATAACCTAAATAAAATATTAATGAATCAAATCCAGCATGGAAGAGATAAACATAGAGGGAATCAAGTAGATTTTATTTCAGAAACTCAAAAATGTCTGAAACACAGAAAACCAATTGATGTGATTCACCACATTTGTAAATTAAATGAATAACATAATTATTTTAGTTAATAAAAAATGCATTAGAAAAAAATGCAACACACATTCATGAGGGTTTTTTTTTTAAAAAAAAATAGCAAAACAAGAATAGAAGAAAATGGGCTTATAGATCTGAAACAAAAGTTGGAGTTTTTTTTTTTCTTTTAAAAAAATAGAAAAAGAAGAAAATGGGCTTAATTCACATTTTTTTTTAAAAAAAAAACCTTCCACAAACATCTTATGTAATGATAAAATACTAGAAATATTCTTTTTAGAGTCATAAACACACATGTCCATTATAGCCACTGATTTTCAGTAATGTACTAATGCACTCAGACAGTAACATCTAAAAAGAAAAATAAATAAGAATCATAAGTACTTTAAATAATGAAGGACTTTATCCATATTTTTCTTTGCCATCACTGAGTAGCAATAAGCCTATTGCTCTTCATGGATGGAATCAATCACCTTTGCCAACACCAGAATTCTCTTTTTGTTTGGTTTGTCCAAACAAAAATTGTTCAAAACAGCTAGTTGACAGTGGCCACTGTCAATACAAGTGAACTTTGCTTGTGTCTCCTGGTGGTTCCAGCAAATCTCTTTTAGATATTAAGTAGTATCTCTTAGACGTTAAGATTTCTGAACCAGTAAACTCATGTTCTGAAGACATGATGCAAAAAAATTTATAAGTAGGCATTTGGTGTAGTTTTATGAGCCACCACTTACCGTCATTGTTTCTCAAATCCACACATTCTATTTATGAGAAAAATAGCCCATGTACTGATTACCAGTTCAGAGCATATCATGCATTATGCAAGACAACATCCTGACCTCCCAAGATATTGCTTTCCTGCCAGGCACTATAGGTGCTAGTCTTCAGTACAACATTTTAACAATCTATAAAGCAGGTGGTAACAGATCCATTGGAAACTCTAAAATAATTACTTGGAGGCAATGCTGTGTGGGATACAATAACTGTTAATAAGACACTCAAAAATTCGAAGAAATAGTGCTGCAAACAAAGCATGGCAGGCAGAGAAATCCAATTGAAATCCTTTCTAGGTACCTGCTCTCTACTTGTCCTAGTCCAGTTTATTGTGCTGTGGCAGAAAGACCTAGGAGTGGCTTGTACAAGTCTCACCTACTGGTATTAACACCCTCCTATAATCCCCTTCCCGCGAGTATGGTAGGGACTTGTTACTTGCTTCTAACAAGTAGACAGTAGCAAAGGTGATATCACTCTTATGATTACATTATATGGCAAAGATGATGGATGTAACTCTTAGGATTACATTATGTTACTGAAGTCTCCATCTTAGCAGACTGGAGCTAGAAACTCTCTTTGCAGATTAGACTAGCTACATAATTTTGGGGGCCCACTTCAAAAGCAAAGTGTGGGGCTCCTTTTTCAAAAATTACCAAGAATTTCAAAACAGCTACAGAATAGCCTTAAACCAGGTGTGGGGCCTTTTAAGCATAGAGGGAAACACATAGGATGTGTGCCCATATAGCCAGCTTGGCTTGTGGGTTTAATGAAGTAAGCGGCCATGTTCAAAAAGACCACACATCAAGGAGCTGTGGGCAGCCTCCAGGCAAAAGCTAGCAAAAAGTCAGGACCTTCAATCATATAGCCAAAAACTATGAATTAACTTAGAAATGGATTCTTCCCTAATAGAGCCTCCAGACAAGAATGCCAGTATGGCCAGCACCTTCCAACAAACTTGGCAAAGAACTCAGCTAGCCATGTCCAGACTTGTGACATGTGGAAACTGTGAAATAATAAATGTGTTTTGTTACCAACAGCTAATTTTGTGATAATTTTTGTGCAGCAATAGAAAACTAATGGAGATGTCACATAAAAGATTCATAATAAGTTCCTACTATTGGCAAGGTTACCATTCAGCATTGGTGGTAACCATGTTAGCCTTCAGGAATAAAAATTGATATTGTTGAGTTCATGCATGGCCTCCATCCCTGCAAGACTGGCAATTTTTAATGAGCCTATTAAGAAAGCAACGGTGTGGTAATGGATAGAGGGTAACTGACAGCCTCTCTGATTATTAAAAGCTTCCTCCATGGTAAAGTCTTTTTGATGAGCTTTCATTTGGGATAACATTCTCGTATTCTGGATCCATAGGAAGATATCTATCCTTGTATTTTACTTTTCAAATTTCTTATTTCTAAGACTCTAATCTTTCTCCTTCTAGTTCCACTAGCCAGTGACCATAAATGAGCATAGACTCTTGACTCAGGCAATGGTTTTTGTAATAACTGGAAAATTACCTGGAATATTCTAAATTCTACCTATCAAGAGGAATTAATTTTCCATGGTCCTTAAGAGCTAACCCTGATTAGACTTATAAGAAGATGTAGTCTACTTTCACCTGGTGCCAGCAGATTAGGCTGACTCACCTGTTAACCAAGGTCAGTGACATAGGTCATAGGTAACTTATCATTAGGCCATAAATGAAGTTGAGAGAAAAATGGCAATGTGGCAGAAGTAGCGCACTCAGAATATGAATCATATGCACATGTACCATTCTTGTGCCTCTAGATATTCTCCAGCCCAGTTCCACATATACTACTTCCTTTTGATAGTGGACTACTACTGGGCATGACTAACTTGGTGCTCTGATTGATAACATGGTTCATCATGGTCAGCTCAGATCAAGTAGTTATGTGGACTAATGGTCAGGATTTACTGTCTATAATTATGGTAATCACACCAATTTGCCTTAGTGATTAAGTACTCTAATTTCTGTCAACCTAGGATCTTCATACTCTCACCGAAATTAAGGGTGCCCTCAAGAGGTATTCCTAATTCATTTCTTTTCCGACAGTGTATTGTTCTGTTGCCCAAGCTGGAAGGCAATGGCACAATCATAACTCACTGCGACCTCAACCTCCTAGGCTCAAGTGATCCTCCTGCCTCAGCTTCTAGCTGAGACCACAAGCACAAGCCACCAAGCCCAGCTAATTTTATATTTTTCATAGAGATGCAGGTCTTGCTATGTTGCCTAGTCTGGTCTCAAATTCCTAGCCTCAAGCCATCCTCCTGCCTCAGCCCCCCAGAGTGCTGGGATTATAGGTATGAGTCACATCGCCAATGTAATGTGTTTCTTGTTGTTGCTTTTGGGGCAGCCTCCTGAGCCAGAGATGGCTCAGAGAGACTCTCAAATTGTTTGTTTGCTTGTTTGTTCATTTTTAAAAATAGAGACAAGGTCTTACTATGTTGTCCAAACTGACCTCAAACTCTAGGCCTCAAGTGATCCTGCTACTTCGGTCTCTCAAAGTGCTGAGATTACGGGAGTGAGCCACTGCACCCAGCCTACTGTCTAATGTATTTCTAACGGATTTGGTGAAGAGGTTATCTCTTGAACCCTCTTGAGGGATTTTATTTAGGAGTGAGGAGAGCAGAATGCAGACAACAAATTAATCCAATATTTCTACCTCAAGATTTCTACCCAGGTATTTTAATTATTTTATTAATATCTTTTCTTCTTTATAGCAGGTCCATTTCTGTTCATATCAGCTATGGTCTAGATTTCAGTTAACCAAACAAGAAAATAATTTAAACTACTCCCATTTGTTTAAGCTAGGATATTAAAAGCCTAACTTCTGACAAGGTTATTCATATTGGTAACTTCAGTTACTGCTTAAATTACATTCTTGCCTTACTTATATCTATAAATTAATGAAATCTTCTTTTCATCACTGAACTAAAATAATATTTTTCTTAAATTATTTTAAAGTATTAACTGTATTATCCTGGGGGTGATGCTATAATTTCACTCCCCTTATATAAGTTCAAGCTAAAGATCTGGTTTTCATTATTGGGCTAGACATAGTGAGTGTTAAGAGTAGAGTACTCACGCCTGTAATCCCAGCACTTTGGGAAGCCAAAGCGGGCAGATCACGAGGTCAAGAGATTGAGACCATCCTGGTCAACATGGTGAAACCCCATCTCTACTAAAAATACAAAAATTAGCTGGGTGTGGTGATGTGCGCCTGTAGTCTCAGCTACTCGGGAGGCTGAGGCAGGAGAATTGCTTGAACCCAGGAGGTGGAGGTTGCAGTGAGCTGAGATCGCGCCACTGCACTACTGCGTGGCACCTGGTGATGAAACAAGACTCTGTCTTAAAAAAAAAAAAAAAAAAAGCAGAGTGAGAAGAGGACTGGCTTCCTCCTGCAAGATGATCTTCTTAGGTAAGGTTGTGACAGGGTTGTAAAGCAAGGTAAGAAAATCTCATGAGTCAAATGAAGGTAAGAGCTTCTGCAGGCAAGGGAGTCTCTATGAAGAGGAGTCAGTATTTTCTGAGTAAACAAAATTAAATCCTTTCATGTACCCCATTTTAGTTTGGGGGACACTACTCTTTGATTATCAAACTCTAACTTTCACATATTACACCAGGTAAGAGTGAATTCAGCTGAGTTTGGAACTGGGAAACTTACATAATTAAACTTTGAATTTGATCTTTGACTATCTCAACCCTGTGGCTGCAAGAAAGAAGATATTCTTTTAGCTCGTTTTCAATTTATGCCCTAAATTAGAATTTTGAGAATGTCATTCCTTTTTTATTTTGTTGTTTAGCTTCTTTAGAAATAACACCTCTAGCCCATTCCTGATGCCAATTTTTATCAGTCAGCATTTTTAGCTAGAAACAAAAAATAACAAAGTTCAACTGATGAAGGCAGAATAGGACATTATGACAAGGATTTGAGGGTAGTTCACGGAATCTTTAGGAAGCCTAGATAATTAGGGGCAGGGCTTTGCACCAAAAACAATGCTCAAAATCACACAATAGAAATGCTCTATGAGAACTCCACTGTGGCCTTCACCAAATAAAAGTTGTTGCAACCTGCACTGCAACAACTTTTTTTGGCTCTGTGTACTAAATGCCACCAATAGCATGGCTTCCATTATTGCTACAAAGTTTAGTTCTGCTGCAAAAATCAACACAGCTGTACAGAGTCCTCTCTTCTGATGCATTGGCTTTCAATTCCAAGTAGAAAAGCAACACCATGTGCCCACATCCTAGGTGCAAAGGAAGCTCAGGAAGCAAATATTTGACATTTTCAGTGTTTATAGTGGAAAACCTGGTCGACCTCCCAACATGCTCATAAAACGGAAAGTTCCCAAAACATATAGTTCCCAAGGCATATTAGTTAATGATCAGCCCATAAATGACAAATGTTATGTGTGATTAAAACTGTTTGTACCATATGTACCCCATGATACATAAATACAATCTCTAGAATTTCTACTGCAATTCTCACACATGTGCAAGACAAAAGCAAAGACTTTTGAAGCATTATATGTAATAGCAAACATGTGAAAAGAAATCAAATTAGAGGATTAGGTAAAATAGGTTGTGATATGTTAATATGATTGTTTATTCAGGTATTGAGAAACTGAGGATTTTATGCATACGAATTTTTTAAAGACTGCCTTTGAAGTGCTCCCAAAGAAGTGGGAGGACAGACACATATCACTAGAACATGTGTAATGCATCAAAGCCTCAAATGAATATGGGGCTGAGGTGGTGTTATTAGAAGAATCTGCCTGTGCTTGTGGAAGGGACATCACAGAGGAAAAAGATTCATATGTAATTTAGGATTTAAAAGATACACAAGAATGTATGATGTAAAAGAGGGAGGGTAAATTCCAGGCAATACAAATTATATTTTTAAAGTCACTAAATGTGTTATAGTACAATGTTTTTCTGAAAAATAAATGTGTGTCGCGTTTGATATTAAACAAACAGGACTTGATAGCAGTGTTGTAGCATGAGGGAAAACCTCCAGGAAGAAATTTTAAGTTTCTAGGAACTTCCCTTCAACCTCAAATTAAAGTAAAACAAAAAGTTAATGAAATAGCACATAACACTCCAAACTGCCATGGTCACATTACATCATTGAAAGACTTTTCTACAAAAAACAGTTATAATTTGGCAAATCAAAAATAAAGAATTTCTTCACAGAAAACCACTAATACTGTGGAGTTACTTTTCCATCTTAAAAAAAAAAAAAAAAAAAAAAAAAAACTTTTGAAAATGTTGCCATCTAGTGGCTTCAAACTAAAAAAAAATTAACTATACCAATGTGAATCATTTAACCATGTTTCCTAGGAAAAGTTTCCTTAGCAGTTCTTAAATAAGCAAATATTACATTTGTGCCTCTGATTTAAGAGAAGGCGTTCAATTTAGGCTACTAGGTTTCAAACTTTTGCTTCATCATTTACTAGCTGGATGACCCCAGGCAAGTTGCTTAATCTCTGTAAAATGAGCATAATAATAATATCTACCCGCCAGAGTTGCTAAGAATTAATGAGAAGATCATAATAAAGTTGTCTAGCGCAGCATTTTACTCATATTACACACCCAATGGGTAATAATAATTGTATTACTTAAGTGGGAAAGAGTTGCAAAACAAGTGGGCTGTTAGTGGGATTGAAGTTTGAGTGATACAGCATTTAAAAATTACAGTACTTTTATTGGCAGTTTGGGTTAGAGCATTATAGGTTTTTTTTTTTTTTTTTTTTTTGAAGTAGTAGAAACATTGTACTGGTATATTGTTGCTATGTAGATAGCAGTTACCAATAACTGGCATTCTCTAATTTTGAAAGATCCTTGGATCAAATTATGATTACATTTTACTATCACAATATTTGTAAAATCCAGTTCATCTCTAATTTGATATCTTGCCTGTTCTATAAGAAAATATACATCTTTCAATGAAAGCATATATGGAAGTGGGGGAAAAGGTAGCTTTACCAGTTGTTTAAAAAAACATTGAGGCTCATACTGAATGTAATCAGCCTTAAAACTTCCTGTCATGGAGACAAGTCAGATGAAAATGGTTCTCTCTATTTATGATATCATTTGAGCTATATAGTATTGCTATGACTTATTTTATTCTTCAAGACAGTCCTTGAGACTGTTTAACTTAATTTCACCTGTCCAAGAAGCAGAAACATCGTGATTGTTAAAATGTGTTTGACAAATATGTCTCTTGAGATTTCCAATGATATGATGATAAAATGTTTATGATATCACCATTGAGAATTTGCAGTTAGTCAATCAGCAATATTCATAGTATTACTGGGCTGGGATCAATCTTGGGGGGAAAAAGCATTCCACAAAAGTCCATCATGAACATGCCTTCTTGAATGTTTTTATCAAAAATGTGGATAAATTGAAAATTTGTTTCTTCCAAATTGTAGAATATTTTGAATGGATAGGTTTTGTAGGCAGCTTTTAAGACGGTTCTAGTAATTCCTACCATTCCAGGCTTCACACCTTTGTGAATCCCTTTCCCTTGTGTGTGAACTGCACATAGGAACTCACTTCTAATCAATATAATGCAGCATGACTGATGGGTGTCACTTCTGAAATTAGGTTACAAAAACCCTGTGGCTTCCCTCTTGCAAGTTCTTTCTTCCTCCCTCTTGCTGACTAACTGTGATGTAAACTAGTTACTAAGTTGTGAACTGCCCACCTGGCAAGGAACCAAGGGAAATCTCTGGCCAACAGTCTATTAGGGACGAAATCCTGCCAATAACCACATGAGAAACTCATAAGCAGATTCTATTTCTGTCAAATCTTCTGATGAGACTGCAGCCCCAGCCAACTGCTTTATTATATTCTGGGAAATAACTCAAATCAGAGGTAACCAGACAAATCAATGCCCTGGATTCCACACGTACATAAACTGTTAAATAAAATATTTGGTATTTTAAGCCACTAAATGGTAGGGCTACTTGTTACACAGCAATAGATAACTAATACAGTTCAACAGAGATTGGCAAACTACAACCTGTGGGCCAGATCTGGTCTGAGGCCTGTCATTGTATGGCCCTTGAGCTAAGAATGGTTTTTATGACTAAAAGAGTTTTTTGTGTTTTATTTAAAAAAGAAAAGGAATACTACATTAAAAAGACGCAGAGCCCACAAAGCCTAAAATATTCACTAGCTTTTTACAGAGAAAGCTTTATAACTCCTGCAGTAAGTAATATGACCAATGACAGAATCAAGATTCAAAATGATTGCCTTAACTGACTAGAATGAAGAAATCAAGTAAGTGAGATAAAACTTGGCCATCATTAATAAAAAGTTCTGTTCTTAGGTTCAAAAATTCTATCTCAGAGTTATAGGATAATGGTTATGTGAAAAAGATTGGCAGATTTTAGTGGATTCAAGGCTCACAAAGAACTAAAATATAATGTGATACTTAAAATAAAAGTTAATGTAATCTAACTTTGCATTAACATCCAGCCGATAAAAAAAGTTAGCTCAAAACTACCCTATATGAGTCAGAGCATATGTGAAGTATTTTAACATGAATCATTTAAAACTGTTTAGAGACATTGGAAATGGTATTTGTATAAGCCTCCTCAAATGTATTTCCTTAACTTATTGCAAAATACATTTTTTAAAACCAGCATGGTAGGTGAAACCACTGGTATCCAAAATTATGCATTTTATCTGTAGTAATCTCCATATTTTTAAACTCAGGTCTTCTTTTGATATCTATTTGTATTTTTAACAGATTTATATGTTTTTTTTTTCTTTCTGTTTTCTTTACATGTATTCCCAAAAAAAGCAGGGGAAAGGAAAGACAACCAAGGATGTACATGTCTTTGGAGAATGGAAGTAGGAAGTGGGAGGTTGGTGTATTTAAGTGTGTTTGGTCCTACGTATCTTCTCTAATCTCTTGAAATTTGGTCTGTTTCTGTCTATTTATATTGGCCTATGCTATACACATGCGTGTGTGTATATATATATCCCTGCAAATATATCCCAGAGCTTTGAGGTAAAAGACACTGCACAATATAATGCTTCTAGAAACAAGCAAAAAGCAGACCTTCACTAATTCTGAATTCACATTTTTGCATGTTATGAATAAGGAGCATAGAGACTAACCAAATTGTTACAGCTTGAGTTGAAAGTGTTCTGAAGGTTAACTGGAGATACGATGTACCCATAGATAGAATTAGCAACATTCATTCCTTATTTACAGTAAAATCTATTGTCTCCTCACTTTTCTAGAGAGCTACTTTAGTTTATTTTAACTTAATAGGTCACAATTCCTTGTTGTTTACTGTTATCCCAGAGAAATTGTTCTAAATGTGTCAAGCAGTGCCTGACTCAGATTCAGCGGCTTCTTCAGCTTCCACGCCAGCCAGGAGGACAATCAAAGAGGAGTGCTGACAAAAACAGACTTTAGTGCTAAAGACTGAAAAGCAGAACTGTGGAGGCACTAATCAATTTCCTCTGAGGAAGAGTATTTCTGCCTCAAAATGTGAAAAGTGACTGCTATTTTCATACTCTAGAGGGAGGTACAGACTCGCACTAAACTGACTCAGTATGGTGAAAGACAAGACAGATTAAAAGAAAAGATGTAACACACAAGGGAGAATAGAGAATCCCAATGATAACACTTCTGCTTATATTAAATCACAATTTGAATGAAATTACTTAAATACTTAACAGTTAAAATGTAAATCTCCAATCTCTATTTGGGTAATACTCACATTTGACTTTCTTTTGTTCTACAAGTCCAACACTGGTAGCTTTCAACGAAAAACTTCTTTATATTTAAATCATATATCATGATATTCTATAAAAACTTTTAACCACCAAAGGTTTAGGTGGAAATCATCATGTGTTAAGCCTCTTAATTGTAAGTGCCTCCATAAGAAATCTATTTCTTATAAATTTAAATTTGGCTTCCAGGAGATGCAAGGGGAAAAGAAGCTTTTTAAGTTATTCTAATAGTTCAGTAAAAAGCAACACAAAAACAGTAAATCAATAGATTGGTCTGCTTGTTAGAAAGAAAATTGAAAACATACATGGCCATTGTATTTGCTGATTTGTACAAAGTAACTTAACAGAGATTATTTGAAGTCTTCTATATGTTTAGAAGATGACTCAATGCTCAATAGCAGGTTCTATTGGACAGGTCCAGAAAATACTCTTTTTGGCATGAGATACATAGTTTTGTGGCTATTGCACCTTCACTTGAAATGAGTTTTCTCAGCTACCATGTACTGGCCATAACAGATTCAAGGGCCAATTAGAGATGAAATACTTCCAAAATTAGTATTGCTTGATGTCCATTTTATCATTTATTATTATAAATATGCTATTATTTGTATTATTTTATATTATTAAATATTATTACAAAATTTTATATCCATATAACACTGAATTTGCCTTTATTCTTCTGATTTTATGAAGTAAACAAACAAAATGGCAGTAAAGAAAAAGAAATGATTAGCATGCCCACCACTAACTCAGTCACTATTTCTTTTCCCTTGTTTCCTTATTATTGTGCCCATATTCATGTATAGTTTAGATTGTTGCTTTCATAATAGACAAAAAGTTATGCTTTAGCTTTTTCACTAAAATTATATTAAAAATGCCTTTCTACTTGCTGCATGGACTCATAATTAACATCTCAATGTACAGACACTCAGAGACTGTATAAATGAGAAAGTGTATCACCTGTGGAAAGCCAGGCACCATACACAAGGTGCCACTTACCTTGGCAAATTCCTCACTGTCCCTCCATCCTTGCAGGCGAGACAATTTGTTCTCTGTCCCAGAATTGATAGAACTCAAGGATATCAATTTTAGCAAGCCTTAAAGAGAGTGAAAAATGATGAAACTACAATAGCAATTTACAAATTTACATTGAGAAGTATGCCCATCAACTTTACCTCCCTGTGTTTGCTTTGATTTATCACACTTTCTCCCTCTAAGCAAGCTACATGGATGTCTAATAATAAGGAGGTTGACTGATCAAGTTGGCCTCCAAACAAAAGGAGTCTCTAATATAATTTGAATGCCTGTCCCCATATTAGCTTCAAGCACTTCAAAGCAAGATAAAGTCCTAGTCAATGCTGGATGGGCATGCCTGTTTTGTCTTCAAGATGCCTTCTTTTCATTGTTGTTGTTTCCATTATTTGGCAACCTTGCCCTTAATTGACACATTCTTTCATTGAATGTGCCGGTAAATTCATTCTAGTTACAATTTTATACTTTGTGCTTGGGAGCCATTCTCTCTCTTCTGCCTTAATCCACCAGTATGCTTTGATTTTACTGCCTCCCTCTTGAAAAAAAGGAAGAAAGGAAGGGAGGAAGGTAGGAAGGGAGGGAGGGAGGGAGGGAAAGAAAATGAAAGAAAAGAAAGAAAGAAAGAGGAGAGGAGAGGAGAGAGAGAGAGAGAGAGAAAATTTATATATATATAATTTTTCTTAAACCTTAGTTATTGCGAAATACCTCGCTTTTTTTTTTTTTTTTTTTTGGGAGACAGAGTTTCACTGTGTTGCCCAGGCTGGAGCGCAGTGGCATGATCTCAGCTCACTACAACCTCCTCCTCCCAGGTTCAAGCAATCCTCATGTCTCAGACTCCTGATTAGCTGGGACTACATGCAAGCATCACCACGACCAGCTAATTTTTGTATTTTTAGTAAAGACAGGATTTTGCCACGTTGGTGTGACTGGTCTGGAACTCCTGGCCTCAGGAGAAGGACTCCTCCTCCTTCCAAAGTGCTAGGATTACAGGTATGAGCCACCACACCCGGCCAAACACCTCTGTTGTCCTTCATGTATCCCAAACATTACAGGCATGAGCCACCACACCCGGCCAAACACCACTGTTGTCCTTCATGTATCCCAAATATTTCCTACACACGGCAGCGCAATATTCCATTGAGTTTCTACATCACAATTCATTTAAGCAATTCTCTATTATTGGCCATTTGTAATTTTTCTTTCCCATCCTATGAAATTATAATGCATATCATATTTTCTTCTTTAACATTTTTCACAAGAATTTATATAATTCTTGTATTAGAATCAAAGGGAGAGGATCCTGTGTAACTTTTTGTGTTCACTGCCTAATAACTTCACAAATGGTTTAAGCAGTTTATACTGATGGCAGTAAATATAACAATTTCAATTTAATCTCATTTTAGTCATTTTATTTTTCTGAAATATTTGCTATGTTAATAGGAATAAAAGTATCTTATTTTGAGCTATATTTTAATTACTATTGAAACTGAACATTATGAATCTCCTTATTAACTCTTTGTTAAATGAGTCAAATAGTCTGTTATTTTTTAAGAAGGTATTAAACTAATCACTCTGTATGAACTCTCTTATGACATAGATACTGTTTTTGTCAATATTGAGGGTAATATTTTCTAATTAATTGTTTTAATTTAAAATATTCAGATCATTAATGTTTTATAAACCTTTTCAAATTGTAGCCATTTTTTTATTTTTTAAATAAAATCTTCCTCATTATTTTAAAATATCAGATTTCTCATATATCTGATATTATAATCATTAAAATAAATGATTACATATAGTCAGCTCACCTCTCCAGTGTTGCATAGATTTTTCAACCATCCTTAATAATGAATCAAGCCCAAACTCTATGCTAGGTTCTGATCAAACTTAGACATTCTGCAGTGTAAGGTATGATTGTGTATATTTCCAATCCTTGTATTCCCATGTTCTAAAAACAGAAACGTATAGATTTAAATATATGCCACCCAGGGCAACAAAGAGAGTCAACTATGCAAAGGCAAGTCTTTTCCTGTTAGTCTGGTATCGTCTATGTCACTAAAAGTCATGCTTGTCTCTAAGTTGTCACAATGTGCATAAGTGGCATAGTTCATGCATGTAGAAAAGTGAAGTGTAGCCAGGCGCGGTGGCTCACGCCTGTAACCCAGTACTTTGGGAGGCCAAGGCAGGTGGATCACAAGGTCAGGAGTTCGAGACCAGCCTGGCCAAGATGTTGAAACCCCGTCTGTACTAAAAATACAAAAATTAGCTGGGCGCGGTGGCACGCGCCTGTAATCCCAGCTACTCAGGAAGCTGAGGCAAGAGAATTGCTTGAACCTGGGAGGTGGAGGTTGCTGTGAGCCGAGATCGCACCATTGCACTCCAGCCAGGGTGACAGAGTGAGACTCCGTCTCAAAAAAAAAAAAAAAAAAAAGACAAGAAAAGGGAAGTGAAAAAAAAAAAACATGATAGAATAACAAGAGACCCTGTATTAACAACTAAAATAATTAAGGCACTTTGGGATGAGAACAACTAGAATTTTAAAAGGGAAAATTGCTGCAATATCTCACTCTTTAAAGTAATAGGAGTTAAAATTGGGGGTTGAGACTGTGAGGTGGGGAAAAAAGTGAAATACTATGTCTACCCTATTATTGGGTCCGACCATGACTATGTTTAAATAATCCTGGTATTCACCCAGTGTAGTCAAATCACCTTGGAAAGCAATGCTTTTTAAGTCTCAACTACCCTCACAAACATAGTTAGAGGTGGAATTTCACACCTAGAGATAGACAATACAGTTGTTTACGAAAGCAAAGACCTGGAATCAACCCAAATGCCCATCAATGATAGACTGGACAAAGAAAATGTGGCACACATACACCATGGAATACTATGCAGCCCTAAAAAAAACGACGTTTGTGTCCTTTGTAGAGACATGGATGAATCTAGAAACCATCATTCTCAGCAAACTGAGACAAGAACAGAAAACCAAACACCACATGTTTTCACTCATAGGTGGGTGATGAAGAGTGAGAGCACTTGGGCACAGGGAAGGGAACAACACTCACTGGGCTAGGTGGGAAGGTGGAGAGCAGGGGCGGGGAGGGGAGGGGAGAGACAGCACAGGGCGGGGCAGATGGGAAGGGATAACACTGGGAGAAATGCCTGATGTAGGTGGGGGTGAGGGGGGAGGGGTGGATGTGGCATGTATGTACTTACACAACAATTCTGCAGGATGCAGGATGTGCACATGTACCCCAGAGTCCAAAGTACAATTTAAAAATATATATATAAATTAAAAAGAAAAAGCGATACAGTTTTTCAGTAAACAAACCCCAATAGAGGGCTTTGTTTGCAACAAAAAGTACTGCAGTCATGCCCCTTGTAACATTTTGGTCAATGATGGCCCTCATATATAACAGTGGTCCCATAAGATAGCAATACTGTATATTTACTGTAGCTGTTCTATGTTTACTTATGTTTAGATACATACAATTACCATTGTGTTGCAGTACAGAAACATGCTGTACAGATTGGTAGACTAGAAGCTCTAGGCTATATCATATATCCTAAGTATGTAGTGAGCTGTACCACCTAAATTTGTTTGTACTATGTATACCACTCTATTATGTTTGTACTATAACAAAAATCACATTTCTCAGAATGTCTTCTTGTTGTTAAGATGTATAACTGTATTTGCCTTGTGAACATGGAACCAACAGAAAGCATTAAAAGTTACTGATTGACATAAGTTGATTTTCTTATTTTGGGTTTCACACAATCCCTAAAACCCTGATTGAAGAAAAGATTTTTAAAGGAGAAATCTGCCAAAAAATATATTAAAAGAGTTTTGATAAGCACTTGTAACTTAAATTCTCAGTAAGACATGATTTGCTCGTAAATATCCTGTGGAAAGTAAATAGCTTTTTAAACATCTATTTTTGTTTTTAAAATATAAAATCATAATGGTCATGCCATAAATTTATCTGAAAAAAATATACAATTTTCTGTTATTTACATGTATATGATCTTCAGTTAAAAAACAAACAAAATTTTGGCCTTTCAACTTTATGCATTAAAATAATAATTTTTTTTCATAAATGTTTCATAATGCCCTTTTCTACATGTACTAATTTCAAGTTGAAGGTTGAGACAGAAGGGGCTGTGTCGAAGTTGTTCAAACTGTTGCCAATCTAATCTTTTTTAAAAAATGTGAACAATGAGTCCCTATTCCCAGCCACCTCCAGTCTAAACTTCTTCTCAGGGTCCTAGAGTCTCTGTATCTGGGCCTAACTTTCTACTTTGTTTCCCATAATCCTGAGTGCTTTTCTTCTATCCTGGTTAGGTTTACCAAGTTCATCTACTCAATAAATATCTGTTGAATGCTTACCATGTGCCAAGCATCGTAATGGAATAATGGTGAAGGCACCAGAATCAAGCAGATCAGGTTAAAATAAAGGTTTTACCTCTTACTGTGAGGTTCCTTAACCTGCATTTGCCTTTGTTTCTTATCTGTTGAAAAGGAACAATAAATCATAGGTTTGTTGTAAAGATTAAAGGAAAGAATGCACATCAAGTGCATAGAACAGTTCCTGACACATGGCCTCCACAAATGTCAGATGTTGTTATTAGGGAGCTTACAGTGAAATAGGAAAACAAAAAATTAAAGCCAAATTGGGTACTATTTCAGGGGAAGTTCAGGATCTTATGAAAGGGACAAAAGAGGCAACTACATTATCGGAAAAGGTTTCCTAGAAGAAGAAACCCTAAAATATAAGCAGAAGTCTGCTTGGTGATAGGAGAAATGAGCAGTCTACAGATGAAGAGCTATATGAGAAAAGGCCCAGAAATGCATTAGCATGATACTTACAAAAAAACAGAGAAATTCAGTACAGCTGAGGAATGAGAGATAAGGCCAGAGAAAAGGAGCAGGATTCTTTAAGAAATGTTGTTTGTTTTAGAGACAGAGTCTCTGTCGCCCAGGCTAGAGTGCAGTTTCTCAATCATAGCTCACTGCAACCTCAAACTCCTGATCTCAAGGGATCCCCCACCTTGGATTCTTGAATGG